CCAGAAGTGATAAAATTGGGCTACCTATAATTTCCAGATATTTGGGGCTTTGACTCTTGTAGTTAAACAATGCCTGGGACTAAAAGTTTGGGAAAACACTCTGAAGATTATTCTGAACCCCGAAGGGTGGTGCCTCTTTGAAGCAGGCCTGGTCTCGGTTTTCCATGTGTGCCTATGGTCAATTTCTGTATGCTTCTATTCAGAGGTGGAGCAATTAGGCCTACTCACCTTTCATTTTCAAAGAATTCCTCTTCTCACTCCATGTGCTGTTGTTCATAATGGAGTTGCGTAGAGTGTTGACAGCTGACCTGTATAAGAAGAAAGTTATGATTCCTTTGTGGATTACCTGCCACTGAAATAAACAGACAGGAAAAATATCTCCTTATATGCTTTGATAATATTAAATGTTAATTATGCAGGATGAATGTATAGCTCTGAAACCCTCACCCTGGTGATCTTTTAGACCTGGGGCAGTTTCTCATTTTACAATTTCATCCTCGGAGAACAAGTACTTTGTAACATAGAGGCAATTATACAGATTTCTTTTTTCTTTATTTATAATGGATTCAAACATGCTGTCCTTTTATTTCCAGACATAATAGATTGGTGTGGAATACAAGCATTTCCTTAGACTCAAACACTATATCTACTTATAGGAAAGATGTGGAGCAGCTTTATAAGGTTGACCTTCCTGGGGCAGAAAATTCAAGCCCCAGAAATTCCTATTCCAACATCCCATAAAATGAGAGAAGGTGCCTTATACCCAGGTCCACTGAAGGGAAAGATGTCAAATTCAAGCAATTCCTTCCACAGCTGGAGACAGGAAGAGAGTCAACAAGAACTCCCAAGGAGCTGTTCTTACCAGATTTCATTCAGCTCTTCAGTCCCTGGTTTATGATCTTTCTCTGCTAGGACATCATCTGGGGTTTTGCCCCTCAGTTGGGTCAGGAACTAGAGAAAGATAAAATGTCAAATATATACATTGGGATGCAAAACAGGCTATGGTGGATATCTCTTCTACAAACCTCTGGATGAATTGTTGAAACAGTATTGATATCAGCCCAAATCCAAGGCTTGGATACACAAACTACACAAGACCATGAAACAGGAGACAGGGAGTTGTGTAATCAGACCTCCAATGTTGTAGGCTAACATAAGCTCACTAAAAATGCTGTTCTGTTCTTCTACTCAATTCTCATTAAGCACGTCTCTTTGCCCAAATCCAACCTCCATTAAAGTGTTGCCACTGTCTTGCTTTCCAAAAAGATTTGCTATTGTAGCTAGATGGATGGGACAACTCACCCCAGGACAACTCGCTATGGGACAAGAGTTACAGTAATATCAAAGAAATAGTGGAATGGAATCATTAAAGAAAGGATGCCAAAGAAAGAAACAAAATAAAATGTGAATGACAAAAAATAAAATATTTTTTAAATTATTTTAAATAATTAAACTGAATTGTTGAATTGTCCTACAGCGAGTTGTCCCAGGGCAAGTTATCCTGCTGCGAGTTGGCCACAGCAAATTGGCCATGGTGAGTTGACTGTGGCGAGTTGGCTATGGCAAGTTGTCCCATTCCGTTGAAATGAAGCACAGAAAGTGGCATGTCATGCTTTAATTTAATTTAATTACAATTATAATTAAATATAGCAATTTAATTGAATTACATTAGCTGATAGTTTATGAAGATCATATAATTAAGATTTAATTCTGCCCATCTTAAGAGCATTAGAAAACTACTGAAATAGTGGTGGATACTACGGTACTTACATCAGAAACTATTTTCCATTGTGGCTAGCCACATGTTCCTAAGAAAGCCACTTGTAGGGTATAAAAAAACTATAGTTCTCAATTTCCTCCACCAATTTAAAGCCCACATGGCCAGGCTATCTGGGGGACTGCCTCTACCTAAGTATTTCTATCTATCGTGTCAAATCAGATAAGGCACAGTTCTATTCCCTTCCCCTAAACATTGCCATGTAATGGGATCTAGGAAGCATGCCTTTTCCTTGTCAAACCCTGTCCTCTGAAACATCCTTCCCCTTGAAGGATGGCAGGCCTCCACCCTCCAAGCTTTTTGAAAAGCATTGAAGATCTGGCTTTTCACCAAGCACTGGTACACATTTCAATGAGAGGATTTAGTGAGGATCTTGGAAATTTAAGTTTAGCATCAAGTTCTTAACATTTATGGTTTTAATAGATATAATATTATATTGCTTTATTGTTATTATTATTGTTGTTGTTGTTGTTGTTGTTGATATTGTTTTAATTTGTCAGATCTACCATCTTCAGCTTCTATGCTTTGCTGGCATCATGTCAAAAATTGTTAGGGGGAGGAGGGGACAATGGAATGTAGAGGATAGAGATGAGAGGGAAGGGGACTTGACGGAAACCAGAGGTGAGAACCGGCATATTCCAGTGTTCAAGGACACCTAGCCTGGAAAAAGAAAGTGAAACCACACCCAATGGCACCAATCGTCCAGGCTATTCCCAAAACACCTAAACGGTGTGCTATTGGACAGAGATGGATTGGCCAAGGGGGGAGGGCCAGGGAGAAAGGAAAAATGTAACGTTTTGCACAGGAACCTCAGATCTAGGCTTTTTTTCTATGCAAACACCTAACCTTAATAAAAGAGCCTATCGCTTCAACCTGGGCTGGGGCTGGTCTGACATAATTGTTGGTTGGGAGCTGCCTGGAGTTTGATATGGGTGGCTATATAAATGCTTTAAATAAACATTTTTTTAAAAAAAAATATTTATTGTGCCTGAGTCTGCTATTGACTCTTGACAACTGCTTAGACTAGTCCCTGCAGTTTTCTTGGCAAGATTTCAAAAACATGTTGCCATTGCTTGCTTTCTGGGGCAGAGAGAAGGTAATGGGCCCAAGGTCACCAGCCTGGTTTTGTGTTCAAGGCAAAAGTAGAACTCACATTTTCCCACTTTCTAGCCTGGTACCAGAAAGTGGGAGACTTTCTGGGTGTCCCCCACTACACCAAACTGACTTTCTGGTTTTCCCCAATACCTTCCCCCATGTTAGAAATCCTGGGTACTCAATTATTTTACATACACCTGAATGCCACTCCTCCTCTCTTAGGCAGGATCTGGTTTCTTCCTTGTCTTATTTTTCTGATATAACATTACCTCACTGTGCCCACCTCTTCTATGGCTGCTCGCCTCCACAATGACTGACTATAATTCAGGAGGTGGGATTGGCAGAAGGAAAACAACTCTCTGGACTCCTGACTCGGCCACTTCTCTCCTTCTGCTGCCTGTTTCTAATGCTTCTGATAAATCACACCTTATTGTGGGGCAAAAGTCAGGATAGAAATTTCCTAAAATAAAAGATATATTCTGTCAACCACCCTATGGGCAACTGGGTGAGAGAGATTTATTTTATAGTGCAATGAGCTGAGAATGTACAATTTAATAACAGTTCCTAGAAATTTGTTTGCTAACATACAGCTCTTCACATAGAGATTTCAACTCAACACTGAAGCTGAGTGGAGGAACGTACCTTGGTGCACTTCATTTGATTCTCTTGCATTTTCTTAATGCTGACAAGGTTTCTAGTGATATCAACCTCCTGGTCCTCTAAGATAAGAGCCAAGAACAGTCAATTAGGATTACTCCCACTATCGTCTTTTAAACTCTCTCTTCTAACTTCTGTGAAGCATCAGGCACTGCTGCAAACATTTCCTTTAAGACCTTGCCTTCAGTGGACAATACTCACATCATTATTCACAGCTTCCTTAGCAGATATAGGAGCAAAAGCAACAACAAGGAGCATATTTATCACCAAAAAGGAGAACAGAGGGGACTGTATCTGACACTTAATATATGTGGAGTCCTTGGTGTTCTCTGAGCATGGTTGTTTGCTTGCAGATGTTTCAACTAGATAACATCATCAGTGTACTGATGCACTGATCATCAATACACTGCTGAGGTTAGCTAGTCAGGTGATGAAATGCCTGAAAATAAACAACCATGCTCAGAGAGAACCAAGGACTCTACAATTCAACCCGGAGCTACATATTTTTTTTTTCTACTGGAATTTAATATACGAACACTATAGAAAAACAAGAGGAAATTGTAAGGCAGTATGGATTGGGATAGTCTATGTCATTTCAACTCCAACATAGTTTCCTTCTTTGCCAAAGTACCTGAGAGGTAACCTTACCATTATCCAGCCATTAGTAAGGTGATAGAGAGTATATTGCAATTACATTTATTTTGGCACAACAGTTGAATTATTGGATGACTCCACACGTTGCTGCTAGTCAGTTGTAGGGAAATAGTCTTTTTTTAGATCTCATATAAGCAATCAAGGATAAGATACCTATTAAATTAAAACGGAAAATACTGCAGCATGAGATTAAAATACTGTATAAGGAAAATCTTCCCAATTAATAAAAGCAATTCAGCCATAAAGCCAGTTGTCTTGGAAGACTCTTCCTTCTCAAAGATAGAAAATTCCAAAGGGGTGTGTTGGTGTACAACCTTTTCAGCAAGAGGAAGAATAGTTGAGCTAAATGCTGTCAATAGCATGGATGCATATAGAACTTGCCCAGGCCTAGTCAAGTGGGAAAATATCCCCCCTTTCTCTGTGCTTCAATGAGAGCTAAATCAGGTGATCAAGATAGAATTTCAGGAGGCTAATCTTGACCTGACACAAAAACTGATCAGGTTTGAATTTACTTAATATTTAAATGGAAGGTTTCCAGGGAGGTTTAGAGCTCTAGGATAGATTGGGCATCTGGAATCCTGACATCTTCAGGAGTTCTTCAGTTTGAAGGAGACATTGTCCTTTTACAAGAAAGTTGAATTTGGCTCCAAATTGACTGGATGATGGTTAAGAGTCTATTGCAGAGAAAAATTCAGAAGATTTGGAGAGCCATGGCAATACTGAATGTATGATAAATGGGAAAATACTAGTAGAGAAGAATCTACTGCATGTTGGAAGTGAATATGAACAAAATATTGCAAGAAAATAACACTAGTAGCTACTTACTCAGTTTTTGATGGATGCGCCGCAGTTCACCCTGAACTGATTCCAACTCTTCCCAAAGGAATTTTTTGCTGCCAGGGGAAAAAGAAACAGGACAGGAAGCTTTACAATGTAGCCCTGGAAATTCAAATCCTAAGATGATTTATTATTAAGTAAAAACATTAAAACCCACTATTATTGTCCTCTAGCCTTTGGCAATCTAAGCACCTACACCAGTCTATTACCCAAGACTTCTTCAGTCACAAGAGCAGTAGAAAGATAATTATAGTAAAGACTGCAGAGACCCAGCCTATCTAACCATTTTTTTACCTATCCAAAATCCACAAGACAGAGCTCATTTCTTTTTCTGCCCACTCAGCTCTTTCTCCTACCTCTCAAGGACATCTTGAGACAGATTCTCCATTGAACTTTGTTTCTGGACCATGGAACTCTGAAGCCCTTCTACCTCTTTGTTCATGGTTTTCCAAAGCTCTTGGATTTTTTTCTGTATTAGCTCATCAAACATCTCTCCACGGGATAAGTGGGCAGCAAATTTTACTTCCTCTAGAAGGATGGAAGATGATACGTTCTTCAGTAATGGAGAGATAGGGATGATATTCTGCATTCTTGATTTACCAGTCCTAATTCTGTGAAGATGCCCCTGTACAATTCTTGAAATGGCACTCAAAACAGACTTGAGATTCTAAGATATAGCACCCTTAAAATTCTTCCAGACTGAGCTACACTGAAGATGTTAGAAAATGTTTTCAATTTCTTCCAATTCTGCTTCTGCAAGCTACTTAGGAGTGGGGATTATATAACCTATCAGTCTTGTGTCTGCTACCTATGTTTTCATAACCAGAAGAGTCAGAAATTCATAAGAAACCAAGGTCTCTATGGAATAATGCTCCAGAATTCCTCTCCCCCTGCAGGGAGAAGAGATCCCTTAAATTGTTTCTTCTTTAAAGAAGGATATAACCTGATATGATGGGACTTGCAAGGCCACAAAACAAACAGAGCGGTTTTTCATATTTCTCACCTTCCAGTGCATTGATCCTACCCTGCTGGTAGTTGCTCTCTTGCTCTAACAAAGTAATTGAGTGGCTCAGTGCTTGAAAAGCCTGGAAAGAAAATTTGGCACAAATCAGGTTAACATTGATTGTGATACCAAGATGGCAAGATTTCCAGGTTTATGCCGGCTACATACCTCGGTCTGGGCATGGAGCTGAGCTCTGATAAGCTCCACATCATTTTTCAGTGCCAAATGAGACTCTGGGATTGAAACCAGAAGAGAGACAATTATTCACATACTTTTGCCACACACAAATATATAGCTTTGGATCTTTTTCCTCGATAAATAAATGAACAAGTGAAATGTTTAAGATAAGATAAGATAACCTTTATTGTCTTTTTTGTTTTACTGTAGGCACAACGGCACACATCAAAAAATGAAATTTAGTTGCCTACTCTCAAAGTGAAAGACATACATGACACACACCTAAACATACTATATACAACATATGTATAGACTCACACCCCTACATTTACTTAACAAATAAATATTAAATACTGTCCATCTTGAATATATAACGGAAGGAGGAAGCTTGAGAGTTCACAAGGTTAATGCTGTATGGAATGAAACTATGGCTGAATCTGGATGTTCTCCTATGGATACCACGAAGCCTCCTCCCAGAAGGTAACAAGGAAAACAGGTCGTGAAGAAGATGTGTAGTATCCCAGATAATCTTACGGACTCTGCTCAAACAACACTTCTGTGCTATGTCCTGGATGGGAGGGAGGGAACTGCCAATGATCTTTTCGGCCATCCTCATCATTCTCTGCACCGCCTTCCTGTCTGAAGCAGTGATGCTTCCAAACCAGACTGTGACAGGATGCTCTCAATCGTTCCCCTGTAGAAAGTGGTAAGGATAGGAGAAGGAAGATGTGCCTTTCTCATGCGACGGAGAAAATGCAGGCACTGCTGTGCCCGCTTCACCAGTGTCTCGCTGTTGAGCGACCAAGCCAGCCTTCTCATTAGCTGCATACCCAGGAATTTGATGCTGGTAACCATCTCCACAGGTGAATCATTAATGTGGCTGTGCCTGCCTTTTCTGAAATCGACAATGATCTCTTTGGTTTTTCCGATATTTAAAACTAGGCTGTTTTCCTTACACCAACCCCTCAACCTCCTTGCGGTAAGCATCCATCTTGTCATCATGAATAAGGCCCACTACTGTTGTATCATCTGCAAACTTCACAATATGGTTGGTGGCAAACCTAGCACAACAGTCATGGGACAACAGAGTGAACAGCAGCGGACTTAGGACGCAACCCTGAGGAGAACCTGTGCTCAAGAAAATGGTATTAGAGGTATTTGTTCCAACTTGCACATATTGGGGCCTGTTGGTAAGAAAATCAAGAATCCAGTTGCACAAAGGAGTGTTTAAGCCTAAAAGGCCCAGTTTGTCTACTAGATGTTGGGGAATGATTGTGTTAAATGCTGAACTGAAGTCGACAAACAACAAACGCACATGAGTATTTCTTTCCTCTAAGTGGTTCAAGCTCAGATGGAGAACGGATGAAATAGCATCCTCTGTATAGTGATTTGGTCAGTAGGCAAATTGAAGCGGGTCAAATGCTGGCGGGAGACTAGATACAATGATGTCCTTTATCAGCTTCTCAAAGCATTTCATAATGGTGGATGTCAGTGCAACCGGACAGTAATCACTGAGGCCTGTAATTGTTTCTGACTCATTTGTTTAATTGGGTTCTTTAGTGTGGAGAATAGATCATATTTTAGGTCATATTTATGCAAAAATACTGAAAATTGAAAAGGCTTCACAAAACTTAAGCACCACTCTAGTTCTTTTATAAGCAAGCCTGTTATTAATAGCAAGACTTAATTCTGAAAACTAAAAATACTGAGCTCTATATCCACGTCTACTTGGAAAATTAATCCCAGACACTATTTGGAAATCTTTTGCTTCAGCGACAAAAGATTCTCTTTGTTATTATTGTTCAAGTATTCTGAGGAAGAATTCTGCCCTGCAGAACAAGAGACTGGGATCCACTTCAGCTCTAAGGGGCAGTAAGCATCCCTTTCTAGGGAGTGTGGATTGGTAACTCCCAACAGAGGAGAAGGCATTAAGAATTCAAGTGACAGTAGATCCAAAGAGAGCAATGGAGAAATTGGGTATCTGAATATAGGGCTGGGCTGAATACCAAAGAGAACAAAAAGGGGCATGATCAGAAGTACTGTGGTTCCAACCCAGCCAACTCCACCTGGAAAACTTCCATCACTCAGAGTGTAAGAATAGGAAAAGAGAACAGAATAGAAAGGATTAAAAAAAACCTACTTAAGTGAAACATAGCCAGAATGTCTTCACTGTAGAAATGATAATGGAAACTAAAAGGATGGTTTGTAAAGTCAAGAGGAGCAATACCAAAAGTAGACTTCCCGAACTGATGCCCTCCATATGGATTGGATTGCTATTCCCATCATTGTTGCCCGCATGGACAGTGATTGGACTTCTAATCCAACACCCCTGAAGGACACTGGCTCAAAGTAGAGAGGAGGGAATTCAAGAAGAAGGCATCACCTTAGACAGGAGTGAGAGAATATTCACAGAAATCTTGGAGGACTGAACAGGTTCAGGGATTCCTAGAGAATACAGAAAGGTGCGTACAGTTCTTTTGCTTTCAGGGACCAGAAAAATAAGAGGAGGAGAAGAAAGAATGAGAGAGGTAGGAAATGAGGGGGAGAGAAACTCACTTTCAGGAAAAAGTCCAAGCACAATATCTGGCTTTTTTTCCTGTTTACTTCATGACTACTCAGGGCAGACATGTTTGACCCTGACATGTTACCTCCCTTTCAATTATAATATAAATATTTTAAATAAATAAATAGGTAGATTTAGCAAAAGCTCAAAAAGGACCATGTTACCTACCTTGTGGCTCCAACCCAGCCAACTCCACCTGGAAAAGAAAACTCCCATCACTCAATTCCAAATAAAGCAATAGGCCCTCCACAGATGAGGACTCTTATGGCATAGACTGCTTTACTTTCAACAAAACCTCTTCTCATAAAATGTAACAGGCTGTATTCCTTTATCCATACTTTTTTCATTCATGCCTGTTTGGGAATATTACCTTTTTTATTTATTACTAAGATCAGTGTTCATTTTATTGCGCTGCCTACTAAAAGACCTGAATCATCCGCTTTCTTTGTCAGAATTTCAGAAGTCAGAGGGTAAAAAATCAGGAGTCTGGCAACACCATTTTTGACTAACAAATTCTATTAAAAGGTATAAACTTTCATGAGCTGCAGCTCAATTCTCAGCTGCACAGAGCACTACCAATATTTCTTTAAGATGTGTGGATTTCAATTTCCAGAATTCCCCAGCTAACACAGTTCCCAACAAGGGCACCCATAAGATTAGAGTTGCCTTCTCATTCTCTTCTTCTAATATGCTATACAGTATGCCATCATCTGCTAGCAATGCCCATTTGGATTCTAGCAGGACAAAATTTGCATTTGCATTTTGACTGTATCATTAGCATACCTCTTAAGCTCATGCATGCTATAAAAGAACACACTTCTTTTGGGCTGTAATAAGAATAATCTGAGTTTAAAATTGTTTCAGATCAGAATCCAGGATATTTAAGCCTCCATCTCACCCCACTACGATCCACAAGATAAAAGATTCAAATCATTTTGATTTCAAGAGCATAAGTGAGGCTGTACACTCAGAGGCCTGGCCATAAGTATGTGTTGTTACTTGTCAGTTGGGCTTCATCTTGAAGGAGTCAGTGTTTACCCCTAATGTCTCTTGAGCAAAACACACTATTTCCTTGCTACATCCTTATAGTCCAACAAGATACCGGTACCTACTGCTGATGCAGGGCTGCTTGCCCGAGCTAAGCACCAGTTAGGAGAGTTGATGTGATTCTGTTCATCATTGGCAAGTGTCATTGTAGTTGACCTCTAAGACAGAGAAACAGAGACCATAATTTAGAAGCAGAAACAAATATGAGAGCAGCCAACAATATGGTGCAGGAAACTTGGGCTTGAAAATGAAGTCCAGCCTTCTTCCATATCCTTTATTTTAGAAGACCAGCACAAGGTGCTTGTTCTTGTCAAGGAAACAATATGATGATGCCTCAGATCAGAAGGAAAACTTGGCTAGGTATCTTGAGTTGAGGTTCTATGCTTGTTTCAGATATTTCTTTCAACTTCAAGCCTATTTCTGGTCATCGTCTTTCCTACTCTTGGGCTTAGTAGTTTAGACTGCTTACAGCTTGGCTCTCTTACTAGATTCAGCTCCAATTTTGTGCTTGCAGCAGCTGTGCTGCATTGCTTTCAGAGGATGATCTCTGAGATTAATGGAAGGAGGGGAGATGATCAGTCCTTCCTCTCACCAAGAAGTGTGGGACATTATCCACCTATTCTGCATACATAAAGATAACCAAAGCAAATCATGAACTCATCTGTTTCCTAAAGTTGAGAAGTAATATTCCAAGAGTGTTTGGATTTTAAATTACTTGTGGAGATTCTGCCCTCAATGAGCCTGGGACAACTTTATCCTATATTATATATAGAGAGAATCTAAAACTTAGAAACACAAGTAGTACAACTTTGATGGCTACAGGAATATTTAACTTGTTTCCCACCACATAATTCTTGTACCCAATTAGTAGCTTTCATTGTGTATAATTTCAAAAGTGACATGTTGTCTTTCTTGGCAAAAAGCATTACAAGAAAAAAAAAGGTGATTTAAGATATCCCTTTCCCGAACCACTTCCCAATTATAGCAGAAACAATCAGGCTATACTATAAAAGCCTATCTCTCCCCATTAGTCCCTGTAGATTTGGTCTGAATGAATTAGGATCTTCAACTATTGACATGATATGAAAATATATTTAACCCATAACTCCCGTTTATTAGCTGGCTATATTTCACATACATTCTGCTGTTCAGAATTTTACTCAGCACTTAGAGGAATAGTTATGTAATTATAGGGCACAATAATTTAATTTCACTTTTAAAAACTATTTTTAAATAATTGTTGAACTTGTTGAACTTAAACATGTATTATTCAGTTACATTTTCCTTTTAATTTTCTCTATGTTTAACCACTCTTGGAAAGGTATACAGAATTAGATGGACCCTCTGAGTCTAAGACCCTCTGAGTCATACATACATATAAATATACATATACATATACACACACACACACACACACACACACACACATATGTACCATCGGATGCCTTCCCCCGAGGGGCATACATACATACCGGGGAAAAGGGAAAAGCTCCGATATACCCCGTTGATGATACTTGGCCAGATAGACGAGCGCACCCGCTAACGAGGAAGGCAGCAGATGAGAGGCAAAAGCACCTGGACACCCTCCCGGACGACTATAGATGCAGGGGAGAGGCAATAGAACTTAAGAATGGGGGAAATGCACCAGAGGTGTGCCTCGTGAATGACTCGGCAATAGAATTACGGCCCCGATCAATGGGAGAACAGACGAGTAATAGCGAGCGCAAATGGGATGGGTATCTCCTGCGCTCCCATATATGTACCGAGGGGGCAATGAGGGCAACAAGTAGTGGAGCCATCCCAAAGACACGCCCGGTTAGCAACTCATTAACACACACAGGAGCTCACCCGTCAGTGAGAGAGAGAGGGGGCGACAAGAAACAGGAACAATGAGACGACCAACCCCCAGGAGTTTACACACGGACAAGGAAAGCAGCAGGTCTGGCAAACAGAAGAACAGAGCTTGAAGCACACATGCTAGATAGCACAGCAATACACAGGCAAATTAAGATGAATGAGGGGGTGGGGAGGGACGACTGGGAGCGGATGAACAGCGGATCTCCAGGCACCTACACACGCACAAAGAAAACAACAGCAATTGGAGAGGAAACTTTAGAAATGGCCCCTTTAAGAACTACACAGCCGATACTAATGAGCGGACCTATGACCCGATCCAGGGTCAAAGCACAGAGGCAGCCGGCCACATAAAAACGGACTCCCGGATCCAGCATTTTATACCCTGACGATGTCGGTAGTGTGGCCGATGAAAGCTTGGTTTTGTATAGTAAAAATTTATGTTTATGATTTTATCCTGGTGATCACCTTATTTTACTTCACATTATGTATATACCTGGGATTCGTGTTTTTAATACTATTAATACTATTAAGGATAAAATATATATTATAAAATATATAATATATAATATATAATATAATATATAAATAAAAATGTAAATGTTCGTTTGTTCAAAATCTTAAATCTCCGAAAGTTCTTCACCAATTGCTTTGAAATTTTGACACAATGTTGCATTCGAATACGCGCGTGTTTTTATATACCTATATTATATAGATGTCACACCTGTGACAGGTAAAAACATGGGTTTTTTGAAAAACAGCGCCATCTAGAAAAAACGAACACCAGGATAAAAATAAAACAAACCTGTTTAATACAAACAAGTTTGTAAATAAAAGAGTTATCAAGCTTTCGTCAGCCTGACTGCCCATCAGGGTTGGAATGCTAGGTGATTAGGAAGCTTGCCTATATAGTTACCTGTCTCTGCGCCCGGCTTTTCGAGAGCGTAATCGGCCCATTAGTTGTATTAATCTGCAATGTGCTAAGTTGATTCACATCCGGCAGCCGGTTGGTGGACCCGGTGGTTATGCCCAGATCCTCCATTACTTTTCTAGCGCGCATGCGAGCGCCTGGGAGACGGCTGTCAAGCTGTCTTGCCCCCTATCTTTCCCCCCCCTCTCTCATTTTGGAGCGATCTCTCAATCTGCATTTCAACCGCCCTGTAGGGCTGTCATCTTCCCCTACGGCCGCCGTTGTCTCGCCCGTAGCTCTCTCTCCCCAATCTTGCAAGGAGCAGCTGTTAAGATCTTCCTGCTCACTATTCTCCCCCCCTTTTTGTTGTCTGTTTTCCACACCCGATCTTGACACATCGTTAATTTCTCGTCTCCTCCCATAACAGCTGTTACTGCCTCACCCATAGCCCTGTCTCTCCAGTCTTGCCTATTGTTATCTCGTTGTTATGTTCCCTGGTGGCCGTAGGGGAAGATGACAGCCCTACAGGGCATTTGAAATGCAGATTGAGAGATCGCTCCAAAATGAGAGAGGGGGGGGGGAAAGATAGGGGGCAGAGACAGCTTGACAGCCATCCCCTAAGCGCTCGCACGCGTGCTAGAAAAGTAATGGAGGATCTGAGCATAACCACTGGGTCCACCAACAGGCTACCAGATGTGAATCAACTTAGCACGTTGCAGATTAATACTAATGGGCCGATTACGTGCTCGAGAAGCCAGGCGCAGAGTCAGGTAGGCAGGCTTCCTAATCACCTAGCATTCCAACCCTGATGACGTCGGCAGACGGGCCGATGAAAGCTTGGTAACTCTTTTACTTACAAACTTGTTTGTATTAAACAGGTTTGTTTTATTTTTATCCTGGTGTTTGTTTTTTTTATATTTTATTAATATGTGTTTGCCCAGGATTCACATTTTTAATGTTATTAAGGAATATATATATATATATATATATATATATATATATATATACACACACACACACACACACACACACACACACACACACATAAAAATTAAGAGAGTAAAAAACAATACAAATTTTGATATAAAAAATGTGAAAAAGGTGCAAAGTAAAAATTGGAAATAAGGAAAGAAAAGAAAAAGTTATAAAGAAAGTTTCTGATCTTACATTTATATTTACCCTCTGTAAGGTAACAAAAGTATTTCCTTCTTTACATAGTCTACCATTTCTAGTCATCAAACCCATAAATCACTAGTTCATGTCTTTTTTTTTCAGCAAAAGTTCATAAGAGGCTTCCAGTAACTAATGAATGTGGTTATTGCCCTTTCTCTAATCAGACAAGTAAATGTTGCCATTTCTGCTAATACTGTCATCTTCACCAATCATTCCTCCATTGTGGGTATTTCAGTGTCTTTCTGAAATATCTTTCAGAATGTATATACTGTAATAAACTCACAGTAGTGTTTATAAAAACACTCTTCCACAATTCTTTTCTGTTTATCCATTAGTTCCAACAAGCAAAATTCTGAATATTAATATTTATTTTTTATATAATTGTATTTGAACCCAGAATTTTCTAGCTTCACCAGGCATAATAAAATGACCCTTTATGTTTGATCCTTATCATATACTCTTTCACTTGTTCTCCCATTTCAAATTTCAACAGGTTTATATTTTAGCAATTACATGTTCATCATTTGTAAATTCAAATTTGCACTTATGCTATTCAATTCCAAATGTCCTCTTATCTATCTTAAATCTTTCTTTTAGCTGCGCATATGAAAACCATTGAAAGTTAAATCCCAGTCAATTGATCTATTGATTTCATCTTATATTCTTCATGTTCTTATTCTAATAGCTCTCTATATGCTAACTATCCTTCTTTGCTGGCTATTTCTTTTATATAAAATGATTCTTATGCTGAGACCCATAAAGGCATTTTTGGCACAATCTGGGTTTATTCTATGTTCTCAATATGGCACTTCTAATATACTGATTTTTAAATCTACATTAATCTTAACTTTATCCTACCATAGAAAACTGTGCCATCCAAACCTCAGGTCATGCTCCTCTAGTTCTAAAATTCTCTTATTTCTCAGCAGCACCCACTCTTTCACTTTCTAACCAGGCAGTTCAAATTCTCCTTGTGTGCATCTTAGCAGACTTTATATTTAATTTGGCTATTCCCTTGCCTAGATACTGTATGTCTTTTGGCCTTTGCTTAAATTGGTCAAACCAGGTATCATTCATTTTTATCACAGAAATTCCTTCCAACAATGACAATTGTAATTTTTTCCATCTTAGTAAGTCCTTTTTAATTTGATTCTATGCCTTAATATAATTGTTTTGAAATAACATGCAATTCATATTAATCATACTAATACCAAGTATTTCACTTTTTTCTGAATATTAAAACGGTGTTTTTGCTCCTTTACCCTCATCTTACTTAACATCTTCATTTTCTCATTAATTTTAAATCCAGCTAATCAATCCACCAACATCCTTTATTTTTTTAGTATTTCCATTTCTTCCAAAGGATTTTTCAAAATTATCACCAAATATCAGCAAATACCCTTAATTTATATATTCCACTTTTAATCCTCACTCCAGCAATTCTTCCATCTTGTCTTATGTGTCTATTCAATACTATTCAATACGTCCAGAGCTAAGATAAATAATAATAACAAGGGACATCCTTGTCTTGTCCCTTTCTATATCTCACAAGGTTGTTAATTTCTCCATTTACAGTTTTCTCAATTTACAATTGTCTTTTGTGAAGTATAAATCAATTTTATCCATTTAATAAAATTCACTCTCTTGAGATTATACCTTCTAGAATGCTAGCATCCATCCAAGGATATAAGGCAGGTGTTACCAAGTTCCTCCCTCATCATTCCGAAACTGAAATCTAACAATACCATATTGGAGTATCGGAGTAATATTGCGAGAGGTACAATTGAGGGTATTCAAAATCTTAGGAATGTAGCTTGTTTTTTAGCTTGGTGAGCCATCCTACAATACCGAGTCCAGTACATTTTAAACGCCAGTGCTTTTCCTCTGCTCCCCAAACTAAGAAGGGGACAGGTAGCAGTAAGGTAACCATACATCTAGACGTATGTTTTAGACTAAGTTCCCACAGTTTCTTGCCGTGGCCGTTTTGTGCACTTCCCGTTTTGTGCACTGATCCAGGATCCGCACTTCAGGCTTTCTAGGCAGAAAAGAAGTAGCAGGAACGCTGCGGTACTTAAAGGAGCCGCGAAGAAAGATCTGCACCTCTGGAACAGGGGGGGAAAAGGGCTTTTCTCCCTTTCCAGATCCGTCTTGCCCTACACCACCTCACGACTCTTCCTTCACTCCCTTACCATCGTGACCATCTTCCCGTCCATCATCCAGGTCGCCCTGCCAGCGATGGTCTCTTGACCCAAACCAGAAAGCGGGGAAGAGGGTTTAGCGGCAATTCAACGTGCCAACAAAGGGGCGCGGCCAGCCGTGGCCACGCCTCCCTTCATGACGCTCCCTCTTCTGAATTCAGAGGGCGGGGCCTGCTTGCTAAGGAGGACTGGGCAAAGTCGTTCCCCGACGCGCTGCTGTGAAGAGGTGGGCGATTGCTGGGGTAATAGCTGCGCAGTTGGGGCAGCGTGGCCCGGGTGCTCTTTCCGAGGCAGCGCTGCTTTTTTGGGGGGAGGGAGAGAGCATTTGAGTCCTGCAGGCTTTTCCCTTTCGGTATTCAAGGCGAGATTCGTGTGCATTAGGAAGCGCGGAATTATCCCTTTGGGCTCTTGTTCATTGCGAAAGATCCTTTCTCCCTTTCCAGCTTTTCGAGTTCAGTGATTTCCCCCTTCCCGAGTTTTCCTTGAACTTTGCCCCTTCATTCCCGAGTGCCCTGGGCCAGAAGAGCCCTGTCGGCTTCTCTGTGCCAAAATATGTGTGCGGGAGAGTGGCGGAGGCGGAAACAGGAAGGAGGAGAAATTGCTGGGAAAGCGCGGGTGCTGGCTTCGTTCCTGCTGTTTTACGTTAAGTCTCCTTCCCGTTGATTTTTCCTGATTTCTCTCCCCGGGAAATACGTTCCGGAGCCTGGAGGACCGAGTCCCAAGTCAGCGGACATTAGCGCGATACCCGAAGGCGATCGTGGAATCCCGGGCCGGTGTTGTCAAACAGTAATCTGCACCGCCCCCGAAACGGCGGGCTTCTTGGGGGGGGGGGGGGCGGAGATGCCAAGGCAGCGTGTAAGCAGTGGCTTTTGGAAGTGAATCGCCTCAAAATCTGCGGCGTTCACCAATGCATGTTTGAAGAGCTCCGCTATGTGTCGACAGTACTTCCTTTGGGTAGTAAACCACCGATAGCCAATCCTATTTTAGATATGCCGCCAGTGTTCATGTTATGGTTCAGGGTATGGTTTTGTGTCCTGGAGAATTAGTTTCATTCCACGGACGTGTAGAAACCGAGCCATCCTCTATCTTATGGGCTGATGGAACATTTGGGATTTTGAGAAAGAATCATGGATGCCACCATTTTTAACAGGAAGGCAAAATACTTATTTTCTGGGTCCACAAAACATACTAAACCATAAATGAACAATGTAGTCTGAGACCAGGAAATATCTGGCTAAAGTAAATTAAATGGCTTGTATAGACAGAGTTTAGTATGTTACTGGAATCTAATCTCTGTAGCCACGCAAACCTAAGACCTAAAACCTTAGGAAAATTAATCTAGCAGTTGAAGAAGAGCATTACACCTAACTCACAATTCCTACCCAAAGAGCAGGTGGCAGTTGTGGCTAGGAAGGCCTTTGCAAAGCTTCGTGTTGGGCACCAGTTGTGCTTATTCCTGGATCGAGGAGGTGGGGGGCTCTGCTTGCTGTCACTTATGACCCAATCACCTCCCATTTGGCCTTCTGTCATGTGCTTTACATGCAACTGTCCTTGAAACTTATCTGAAAGCTTCATCTGTGCAGAATGCAGCAATGCAAGCAATTATCTGTATTCCTAGAAAAGTACATATTGGTTGCCAGTCTGCTTCTGGTTGCCCCCAATTGAAAGTGCTGATGTTGACCTTTAAAGCCCTTCATGGTATGGGGCCAGGTTATCTGAGGGACTGCCCATCCATAATTGCATCTGCCCATCCCATCAGATCTGACAGAGAAGGCATGCTGCAAGTCCCTGTTAAGGAATTACATTTGGCGGATCCTAGAAGGCAGGCCTTCTCTGTTGTAAAAAAGTAAAGGTATCCCTTTTAGTTGTATCCAAATCTAGGGCACAGTGCTCATCTCCATTTCTTGACCAATGGAGCTAGTGATGTCCGAAGACAATTTTCATGACCATGTGGCCAGCGTGGCTATATGCTAAAGGCGTACAGAATGCTGTTACCTTCCCACCAAAGTGGTATCTATTAATCTACTTGCATTTGCATGTTTTCAAACTGCTAGGTGGACAGAGTTGGGACAAGTAATAGGAGCTCACCAAGTTGCAGCACCCACCTTATGGAATCTTCGTTCCCTCCCCCCACCTGCAGTGAGATTAGCTCCATCCCTCTTAACATTCCACAAGTCCCTCAAGACCTGACTATGCTTTCAGGCTTTGGGAGATCTTGCAATCCATACTGTGGCTGACATCTCTTGTTTTGTGTGTTTTTTTTAGTTTTTAATAATGATTTTCAGTTATATTTGTGAAAACACATATAATGGTTTTCTAATTAAGTGCTGTAACATCAACCCGAGTCTCTTGTGAAATGAATGGCCATACAAATAGGATAGATAAATAAATAAGATGGCCCTTTCCTGCCTCCACTTCAATGTGTGAAATAAGCTAGTCCTATCTGCCTGTTAGAGATAGGAAAGGGGCATAGCCAGGCCTTGTCTACAATCAGATGGGATGTGGGCAGATTAAATGTAATCCAGTCTCTTGGCAATTAAGGGTTCTGCTGCTTTAAGCAGAGTGGCAGGCAGTATTTAGCAACTGACTTCTGCCGTGTGCCTGTTTGCTTGCCTTTCCAGCTCTTATCGCTGCCTGCCTGCTGCTCTTTTGAACTATCTGGCAATGGAGGTTCTTTGGGAGGGAGATTAATGTTTAGACCAGTGGTGGCAAACCTATGGCACGGGTGCCAGAGGCGGCACTCAGAGCCCTCTCTGTGGGCACGTGCACAGTCGCCCCAGTCCTAGGCCTTTAGTTGGGTTTTATAAAATCTTTTCGCTTTAGGCCTCTGCCATGTGCAAAAAAAAAAAAAAAAAAAAGGTTCAGTCAATTTCAACTTCTCGCGGGGAAAAAAAAGATCTGGAATTAATTGGTTGAACTTTTTAGTCCCACCCAGTCTGCTGTTAGCACCGCAGCCACGCCCACCCAATGGGCCACACCCACCCGGCACTCAATGATGCATAAGTGGGTTTTGGGTTGCAGTTTGGGCACTCGGTCTCTAAAAGGTTCGCCATCACTGGTTTAGACATTAAATATAACTAAAATATGACTGGCTCCCATGATTTATATGCCCATTAGCAAAATGAGATACATCTTGATAATATTGTCAGAAGTAACATTGGTACATGTTTGAGGATTTGACATGTTGAAACAAGTTGTAGTAATTAATCAAAATAGATAATAAAATAATTATTTTACATATACACATACAAAAAGTATTTTACATATACACATACAGTTCAGGGCCTATATAAAAGTAAACATACTTTTGGTATGTTTTCCATCACAGAATAGTTGGCATCATATTACACATTTGGGGCAATTATCAATTAACATGGCTAAGACCAGGCCTTAGATATCACCCACCCTTGGATGTGTTTCCTTGTTCTTCCCTTTTCTCAATCCTTTTCTTCCGTATCTTGCTTCAGAAATGTCGATGGAAGGTGAGCCAAGTGGCCTTATCAGAATCACCCAGCTTTTTCTCCTTTCTACAGCCTGGGGAATGCAGATATGGGTAACCTTCATCTCAGGTATGTCTGTAGGGCAGGAGGGGAGCTAGCTTAGAATGTTGTTCTTCTGTATGGCAAGGGCTGTGTTAGAGGAAGGATGAGGTGAAAAGAGAGAAACATCCATGTTTTCCAAATTTGCCTGTAACTTCCTCTAACATTACCAGTATCTTCTTCTAACATGGTTTTTCCAAGCCCTTAAACTCTCTTAGACTTCCAGATCCTGTCACTGTTGCCAACATCACTCTGGGAAGTCCAGTTCCTATAGTTTTCTTAGTTAGCTGTATGAAAGTTATGTAGTTAGTTATGTAGAAAAGTGATGTAGTTAGTTATGTAGAAAAATGTGTTTTATGTAGAAATCTGAACTCCGTCTGGTTCAAATCTTTGGAATCCTGTTTCTCTTCCACTGCTTAAAGAAAAGGGTGTGTTTTCCCATGTAACCCATCCTTACTTTCTCTCTAGGGTTTGTTCTTTTCCGAACTGTGAGCCGGCACACCTTTGGCCTGGTACAGGGCAAATTGTTTCCCTTCTATTTCTACACCTTACTTGGCTGCACGTTCCTTAATCTTGCCATATTTGCTGCATACCATCCACGGGAACTCCTCAGCACCAGAGAAACTGTTCAGGTAAATAGCAATTAATGGTCTAAAACCCTGCAGTTTTACATTCAGGGGGAGGCGTGCAGGCAGAAAGTAGATAGGCACATTCTGAAAATGCCTTGAGCTTATCAAGTTTTCCAACTCATCTCAGGTTGAAAGAAGTCTTCATATTCTTAAGACAGTATCTTCTTGGCTGCACTGACCTAGCAGTTTCACTGTTCAAATTGCAAGACTTCCATTATCTTCTATTTAATAGCTCCTACTAAATCCCTTTTTCTACATCATTTTAATGCTCTGATACGTTTTCATGTATATTCCATGTTCTTCCTATCTCCCTAGGACCTTTGCAGCACCAACTACTTCAGATTAAAGATAGTCATAATGATATATAGATACATTTATATTACAGGACATACAGACAAGCCATAATTACTTATCATTCAGTTCTGTAGCTATACAAGTGATAGCTCTTGTTGGGAAAAAGGCATCAATGCTTGCTTCTCTGGGTAGCAATTTCAGAATGCTTTACATCTATATACAAATGTCCATGGCCAGGTTCTTATGAGATGAACTGTTAGCAGCCTATATTTAATGGATTTACTTCTGAATAAACTGGTTTAGGATTGCAATTCTGCTTTCTGTCTATCTCCCTGTCCCCAGTGTATAGCATTTTTAAATCTAGAATATTCCAACTCGGAGGGTATATTTAGAACATTATCATCATATTCGTCCCTTCCCTGCATCTTTGCTCTCAGCCTTCATGGCTATATTTCTGAAGAAAAGCAAAGGTTCGCATAAAATGCATTATAATAAATTAATGAATAATTTTGTTAGACGGATAGTTATGTTTAACCCTTGCAGCAGAATATTTTGTGGCACTGTAAATATGCCTTTAATGAGCATATGCTATAATAAATTTGATTGTCTTTAAGATGCCATAAAACCCTTTTTTATAATTTATCAACTAACCAAGAACTCTAATGAATTAACATATATTTGGTAATATTTTACTAAAGAAAGGCATTAAAACATTTAGCATGTAATGCTTTTTCATTTTGTCACCATTCCCACCTCTGGGAATGTCTGAGTGTGAGTGCTTCAGCCTTAATCTAATTTCTTGTTTAGTGTAATTTTGTTATGCAGAGTAAATCCCAGGGTAATATACGCAGCATTACAAGATCTTCCTAAATCATTTTGGGCATATTTTTCAAATAGAGAATGCAATAAATAAATGATTGCATTTCTTATAAAACAGCCTCCTCTGTCATGCTAAGAGCAACAAGAGGCCCAACACTGAAGTGACTATGATGCTACTATTTGTGCAAGGTTTACTGAATAAATCACAATTAAGTGGATTTACATAATACATACTAAGTCATAATCCTAAATTTATAGCTTCAGTGGCTGCGTTCATGCAACATGTTAATCTAAAACCAAACAAGCCAGATTTTTCTCTAGCACAATATCTGAATCCTGGAGAGAAAATCTTAAGGGCAGATAAGGTGCGGGCTTTCAAAGTACAACTGTAGTGCTGCCTCAAACGGTACAATTTATTTATATCTTTTCCCCTAAGAAGAACTTTTGACTTAGAAGAAAATACATGGGGCTGGGATGTGAAGCAGAATAATTGCCTGAGGTTTTTAAATGTTAAATTAATTTTTTCCAAGATCCAATCTGGGGATGGTCACTGGGACCAGAGGTTTACTCCTCTGAGCTTTCGGATTTATGTTGGAGCCCATCCTCAGGGAATTTCTAATTTTTTTCACCATTCATAGCAAAAATAGGTTTGGTATATATCTATTTCCCTGTTTGTTAATATCAGGGAAGCATCTGAATATTGTTCAGCACTGAAAAATCCTGTTTTGAGTGATCATTGGTAACTAATCGTACTCAAGATCAACAAACCAAACCGAAAAGATAGGATCATAGTGGTTGAGAAAGATACCATGCAATACTGTCATTTTCTTCTGCTCCTTGCAGACTTCATCTAGAAAACCATTTTATTTATCTCCCCAAAGGTTTCTTGTTTTGAGGCAATAAAATAAAATAAAAATCGTGGTGAAAGCATACAGATGTTATCATTGTGTAGAATATGTGAACCACTTTTAATTGTTAATGTCCTTAAAGAATTAGTTGAAACATCGTTGAGATGTTGTTCCTCCCCTTAATTTTTCATCACAATCTCTTTGAATCAGGAGGCATAATCTGTGTACTGAGCAAAATGTCAAGTACACAAGTGATTGACAACTGTACAACTCCGCTGGCCTGCAGATTATTGCAATATTTCTGAACCATTGGTGTTTTGTTGGAGCTGATCCTAGGCATAGAAAAGTTAATATTCACATTGCACTAGAATAAATAAGGTGTAATGTGGAAAGCTGACTCTAACTTTAGGCCAATCACATTCTCTCAGCAACCTACCTCCTAGAATTGTGGAGGAAAATTGGTGAGAAGTTAATTTAAAATAAATTTAAAATATATACATCATTTTCATCTCTTTTTTTTGGACTATGTAGCTGATTGACTCTTAAAAATGAGGAAAATCAGATTCATCAACTGCCCTTTCATTTTTCCTAGAAGTAAGAATGCAACTCCAGAACTCAAATAAAAAGACTCCAAAGAAAATTACATATAGTAAATTGGAAGTCAGAAGTGATCATGATACTTTGTGTCTTCCTTATAGATCACACTCTTTTTAATTTGCTTCATCTTGGTTGCCACTAATGCCTCCTGGTTCTCCCAAGTCATCACCAAGACCATGCTTAAGATGCAAGAGATTGAAAAGGAGCATGGGCTCGGACAGGAAGTGGGGGGTTCAGGTCAGCGAGAGGTTTACCAACTTCTGAAGGAGAAGGATAACAAATACCGGCACCTGCGCCAGAAGTTCTTCAGATTTCATGGTTTGTCTTCTCTCTGCAATCTGGCTTGTGTTATCTGCACCGGGGCGAACTTGGCATTCATTGCCTTGCAACTGGAGAGCCTGTAGACTCTCCACTGCTCCTGCTGGTTCTCATGCGTTCTCCTAAAATTCTGGTTTTGCTCTAAGGAGGAGCTTGGAAATGACCAGAAATCAATCCTTTGGAGTGTGTCCCATTCCTCTAGAAACAACCAGATACAGAATGCTCTCCTGAAGTATAAATTGGATTGTCCAGTAACTGAAGGGATATTTAAACCTAGAGCAAATTATCTGCATAAATTAATGCCGTTTCTGTTTTAAAATCTTGATGTAATATTAGTTTGTGTTGTGCTAAATTAGGAAGTTTTTGTAACGTTTTATGATTTGTCAGTAGGCTCCCTATTGTTAATGATAATCTAATACCATTTAATATCAATTGTATACCCAGGGAACAAGACCTTAATGGGCTCGTTTTTAGCAATAAGGTACAGGATTCTGCTATCTTAAAAGAAAATTTAAATATAGAATGCCTTCTTATATACAAATTTTTATTTATCTCTTGGAATTCTGCTTTTGGAATAAAGAATGTTAATAGCCCTCTCCTTCTGCTGCTTATTTAAACCCTTTGTCTCTCCCAGTTTCCAGTGGGGATTTTCAGATTGACAAGTAAATTAATGGCAGAACTCCTATTCTGGGATTCATGAACTGTTTTAATCTATTAAGCTGCACTCATTTCAGCAACTATCCCATTTCTTCTCCTACCTGGGTGAGAAAAACCCTTTTGTGGCTCTAGTTCATGCTATATCATTGTTTATTCCTAAAACAGTTGGCTGGTTTCATATAATTGCACGGTTAGAATACAGTTTTGCAGGCTGACTCTGTTCACTGCCAGGAGTTTGATCCCAAACTGCTCAGGATTAATTCAGCCTTCTATCATTCCAAGATCAATAAAATCAGGACCCAGATTGTTGGGGGCAATATGCTGACATTTTAAACTGCTCAGAGAGTGCTGTAAAGCACTTTGGAGCAGTATATAGGTCTAAATCCTATTGCTATAACACGCTAAAACATAAACCATGATTCATGAACCACCGTTGTTGAGTTCACACAAATTAAACTAAAATAGTTTGTATGATAATTGGTTTAGTGTGCTGTAAGAACCAAAGTTGGTTTTCTTTTGTGATTTTATATGTAAGCTGTTTTGTCATATTATTACATAGACTAGGTCTGTGGGTGGTAGACATGGCCCATCTCTTGCACTGTGCTTCCCAGGCCATCAGCCATAAATTAGGACCAAAAGCTTTTGTGAGCTATTGCTTTGAATGCAACAAAACATGTGCATTTTTTAAAACAAATCCTAATATTGGGTGTACTAGGACAAATGGGTAACGAGCCTGCTGAACAGCAGCCAAAAAAGCTAATACAATCCTGGGTTGTATAAACAGAGGCATAGAATCAAGATCACATGAAGTACCGCTTTATAAAACTCTAGTGAGACCATACCTGGAATACTGCAACCAGTTTTGGTCACCATACTACAAAAAAGATGTTGAGACCTTGGAAAAAGTTCAGAGAAGAGCAACTAAGATGACCAAAGACCTGGAGACTAAAACATATGAAGAACGGCTGCAGGGTTTGGCTTGTCTAAAGAAAAGAAGAAACAGGGGTGACATGATAGCAGTGTTCCAGTATTTGAGGGGCTGCCACAAAGAAGAGGGGGTCATGTTAGTCACCAAAGCACCAGAGGGCAGGACAAGAAACAATGGTTGGAAACTGATCAGAGAGAGAAGCAACCTGGAATTAAGGAGAAACTTCCTAACAGTAAGGACAATTAACCAGTGGAACAATTTGCCTTCAGAAATCGTGTACAATTGTAGTAAGACCTAACCTAATGGTTAGGAAATCCATTTCAAAAGCTCTGATAAGGGTATAATTTAAACATGATTTGTTGAATAAGCCACAGCTGGTTCCATGCCTTACACTAAACCATGGTTTGCTAAAAATAGTAATTTAGTGAAGTTGACACAACATTCTAAGCATGACTCTTGAATTGACCACGGAGAAGGAAGGCAGGAGGCAAATGGGAACTACTGTACTGAAGAGTGATACCCTTTGATCATTGTACAGGTGAGTAGATTTCTCTGTTCCATTTAATAAGCCTTCTGTGGGCTTTTTTAATCTCTTTAAATAAATCCCTGTAAATCTCCTTTAGTCTTGAGGAAAAAACCCTTTTTAAAAATCTTTCTGGAAGACTACCCATGTCCATATGTACACATATAGCTTGAGTTAGCTCAGGCTGGTCTGCACAGTGTGCTAAGCCATTGCTTAATTAAGCCAAGTGTGACTTACAGATCTAGGTCATGGATTACATTGGGGTTGAGAAACACCTTAATCACAACAGATACTCATGTTTAGAAGATTTACTTCCCCAATTATGGCTTTGTGTGTTATCCAGACCTGACAGGGATGCTTAAGCCATTGTTAAATCCTCCTTCTGGCCTCCAGAATTAGAGATGGGAGACACTGCATAGAAATGCCTCCTACCATAGCATTTCAGCTGCTTCAATGTTATTTGCACATGTTATGCTTGTACTCATTCAACACATTTGATTAGACTAATATTTTTCATCCTTAGCAATTTATGGACTTCCCCATGCAGGCCAGAGACTTCTCAGAGTTGAAATCCACTTAACTTAAAGTAGCCAAGGTTGAGAAGCAACAGACTAGACTAGTAGATACAGTTCAACTTGTTCTTCCACAGCAACACTTAAAAATGCAGATTCCTTCCTTCCCTCCTTCCTTCCTTCCTTCCTTCCTTCCTTCCTTTTGCTGGACAAACTGCCACATGCCCCAAATTTTCACTGTGAGCAGAAGCAATCACCTTTGAAAACTCATTAGTTGCCTGCTCTAAAGCACATGTAAAATCTGCCCACCAACAATGCCAAAAAATCTCCCTTCCCAGCAGCAGAATTGGCCTTATAGGGAGATTTTCACCTGTCCTCGATTATATAGATATCCCTATGATAAACTCAGAAGAGTCTGCCAAGTATTAACATGAAATCTTTGCAACATGCACAGATGTCCAATCGACATGATTCAACTTTTCAATTACTTGTTACAAGTAGTTTGTGGGCATGTTTCTGTTTTAAATATGTTGTGAGCCGCCCTGAGTCCCTCGGGAGAAGGGCGGGATACAAATCGAATAAATGAATGAAATGAAATGAGTTAAATCTACATGGCAAAGCTCTTGCTATGCAACCCTTAATAATTCAGCTTTCCACAACTTCCAGAAGGTAGCCTGAAAAAACAGGCTGTTGTCAAGAAGAAAGATTACTGCTGTTCAGCAGGGGGTAAAATATAGCCACTGAAGCTAAACTGTTAGTTCTATCCTTGCGGGGCTGTGGGAGGCAACGGTCTAAAAAAAAAACAAAACAGAGACATTGAATAAAGCAATTCATCAGGAGAACTGGATGCTGCCTTTCTGAGTAAATCCTTTCTGAGTAAAACAGACAAGGGGATCTCAAATTGGAGAAAAAGCCATATCATAAACATACTAAGACAGAAAGAGATGGTCAACATACATACAATACAATAATTTATGTCAATCTAACTTTGGCAATGAAGGTGGGGCGAAAAGCTTATTCCTCAAGTCTTTCTAATCTTTGCATGAACTTGAGTCAAATATCCTGAATTAGGCTTCTTGAACAATTTTTAAAAGCTAGGATCATTCTTTGCATGTGAGCAGTGCAATCATGGCTTATTTAGCCAATTCCTTTCCCCTTTTCCTCCCCCCCCCCCTAGCTAGTTCAGCTATGTATCGATCTGATTTCTTAGACATTTCAGTAGGGCTTAAAAAAATAAAAAGAAAGCTAGGCCATCTGCAATAAATCAAACACATATTCTTAAGCTACAATTGCAATCTGGTCCACCTAAGTTGACTTGTTCTCTGAAGCTATCTATATGAAGGTTCAAGGTTCAAAGGGATCTTGAAAGACTTGAACATTGGGCCTTTTTACAGTAAAATTCAGTTTAATTGGAAGAAATGCAGAGTTATAGCTCAAGACAAGAAAAACCAGATGTAGAAATACAAGACACGTGGCACCTGACTCAATAGTCATTGTATCTTAGTAGACCACACTGGTATAGCCAATGCAATCTTGGGCAAAGCATCAGATATATAATGTCAAGATCATGCCACAAAGTGATACTTCCACTCTACAGTACATCTGTACTAGGAGCATGTACAGACTTCATCTGGAATGTTATATCCAGTCTTGCTTGCCAGAACACAGGTTTGATGCTGAGGAACTGAAGCAGTGCAGCAAAAATAAACAAAGATGGTGAGGGGTTTGCAGGCCAAATCCTGCATAAAATGGTGAAAAGAACTAGGCATGTTTAGCCTAAAGAAGAGAAGCCTAAGCAGATGCATAATAGAAGTCTTCCAAGGAAGGGGTATTACGGGAATGAAGATGTGGATTTTAGAGGGTAGGACAAGAATACTAAGGTAGAAGGTTAGAGACAGACCCAGGTTCAAAATAAGGAGTCATTTCCTGATTGTAATTGTTATTAAACAATAGAGAAGGCATCACTGATGGTTTTCAAATAAAGGTTGGACAGCTATTTGTGATGGTCAAGGATTCCTGGTCAAGAGCGCTGATGGTGCAGTTAGAATGCAGTATTGCAGGCAAACTCTGCCCACAGTCTGGAATTTGATCCTGATGAGCTCAAGGTTGACTCAGCCTTCTGAAGTCAAAGCCAGTAAAATGAAGACCCAGATTGTTGGGAGCAAGATTCTGACATTGTAAACCAGCAGTATAGAAATTTAAGTGCTATAGCTATTCCTGCTTTCTAGGGCAGGGCTTTTCAACCAGTGGTACGGGTACCACCTGTGGTACATTGGCACCTTGCAGGTGGTACACGACCATCCTAGAAAAGTGGTAGTGGGGGAGGGGAATGAGCTGAACCGATGGCAGCACTGCACAAGCCTGAGCGAGAGATGGCTGGAGCTGCAGGGCTGCCAGGGCTCAGCGGAAGCGCCAGGATCAGTGCCGCTTTCCAGCTGATCGGCGCTTCTTCGGGGCTGTCAGTGGAAGTGCCAGAATCAGTGTCAGGCTCCATCTGGAGCTCGACGCTGATCCTGGTGCTTCTGCTGAGCCCAGAAGAAGCGCCGATCAGCTGGAATGTTGCAGCATCTCCAGGGTCTTGTGATTTATATTCAGATGCTTGGCAACTGATTCATATTTATGACGGTCAGTGTCCCAGGGTCATGTGAAGTGACCAAAACCTGCTGCAACCACCCAGCAGACAGGGGAAATAAAAACCAAATACCCCCCACCCCACCTCCGCTGCCAATCCTCAACAGAAATGCTCACAACAATGAAAACGTCGGACAGGAGGAAGAGCACTGCCGGGGGGCAGGCAGGTGTCTTGCTCGGCTGTGGCTTGGGGGGCACTTTTTTCAGTGCCATTGTAACTTCTAAGAGTCACTAAGTGAACTGTTGTAAGTCGAGGACTACCTGTACTTTATCACTTTTTTCATTTTTTTGGGTCATCAAGTTTTTGACACCTTGCTAGGCGACTGGTGGTACTCGGATGTTGCCATATCCTAAAAGTGGNACATTGTCTTTTCTCTTGCAGCACCTTTAGAATAGTATCCTTCTAGAACAGTGGTTCTCAACCTTCCTAATGCCGCGATCCTTTAATACAGTTCCTCATGTTGTGGTGACCCCCCAACCCCCCATCCAGCTGGCCGGTGGGTATCAAAAACTTGACCCCAAAAAAAAGAGGAAAAAATGGGAAAGTATAGGTAATCCTCAACTTACAACAATTCGCTTAGTGACTGTTTGAAGTTACAACAGCACTGAAAAAGCGAATTATGATCATTTTTTAGACTTATGATTGTTGCAGCATTCCCAGGGTCATGTGATTTACATTCGGATGCTTGACAACTGATTCATACTTATGACGTTCACAGTGTCCCAGGGTCACGTGATCAATGGCCAGGGGGCGTGGCCAGCTGATCACTCAGGTTGCAGAGTGCCTGTGGGGAGAAATCTGTGCGTCTCTGGGATGGGACTGGAGTGGGTGCCTGCCTTCCTTCCCTCTGATTCGCGCTTCTGCTAAATTAGCAAGCAGCATGTTTTCTAGCATTGTTCCTTCCTTCCTTCCCTCTCTCTTCGTCCCTTCCTTCCCTCCTTCTTCGTCCCTTCCTTCCTCCCCCCTTCCATGCTCCAGGATCAGCGCCGGGCTACAGCTGATTCGTGCTTCTGCTAAATTAGCAAGCGGCATGTTTTCTAGCATTGTTCCTTCCTTCCTTCCCTCTCTCTTCGTCCCTTCCTTCCTCCCCCCCTCCGTGCCCAGAAAGGGACAAGGGGAGGGGGATAGGCTGCCAGCGTGGCTGGGGGCTTTGCTGCCGGCAAAGCTGCCGGTGCACAGGCAGAGACAGAGGAGAGCTCCACCCAGCTCACTTGCTCAGCTTTGCCAGAAGACATGCCGCTTGCTAAGTTAGCAGAAGCTCCAGGATCAGCGCCGGGCTACAGCTGATTCGTGCTTCTGCTAAATTAGCAAGCGGCGTGTTTTCTAGCAAAGCTCGAAAAAGCAGCTACAGCTGATTTGCGCTTCTGGGCTGCTCTGTTGTAAGTCGAGGACTACCTGTACTTTATCTCTTTTTTCATTTTTTTGGGTCATCAAGTTTTTGACACCTTGTTAGGCGACTGGTGGTACTCGGATGTTGCCATATCCTAAAAGTGGTACAATGGGTGAAAAGGTTGAAAAGCCCTGTTCTAGGAGACTCCAAAGTCCTTTCCAACTCTGTGACTACATCTTATATAGATCTGTGAACCGAGTCCTAAAGTTGTGTTCAAACAATGGGTTTACCTATGATAAACAGAACCAGTTATCCAATTAACCTAATCTTCTGGATTTGCATAACAGATTGAACTATAAACCCATCACATAGACTGAATTCACCGAACAAATTAGATTAAAATGTGGTTCATTAGTTATTCTGTGTAACATGCATATAGCCAGTTTTACATTTCTTACTAAAAATTAAAAAAATGTGTTTTCAGTCAAAACAGCACTAGATGGTGCTATATCACATACTCTTCCAAACTGAGATGGCAGCCAATTGTTTGCTTAATTAAACAAGACATATGTTATATATATTTGTTTTGACTTTGGCTTGTTCATTGACTCCTTTCTTGATTACCAACAAGGATAATGCAGACCTTGGGCGTTACTTTCTCTCAGTCCTGGGAAGAAGGCAGGAGCAAGCCACTTTTAAAACAAATCTTGCCAAAAACCTGCAGGGATTTATTCATTTAGTTCCCAAGAATCAAGACTAACACAAAGGCACATGCGCACACACAAATGCCTAACTAAATAAACCACAATGTACAATATATTAAGCCATGGCTAACTAAATGTACTAAATGAATTAAACCAATTGCTTGGATTCATGTGAATACACTGAGCCATAAATGAATCAGCCTTTTAGTCTGTTGTGCTGTACAGATAGATAGTCCTCTACTTACAACAGTTCATTCAGTGACCAAAGTTACAACAGCACTGAAAAAAGTGACTTATGACTGTTTTTCACACTTACCTTTGTAGCAGCCCCATAATCATGTGATCAAAATTCAGATGCTTGGCAACTGGTTCATACTTATGACAGTTGCTGTTTCCCAAGGTTATGTGATCACCTTTTGCAACCTTTTGACAAGCAAAATCAATGGAGAAGCCAGATTCACTTAACAACCATGTTACCAACTTGTCAACTGCAGTGATTCACATAACTGTGGCAAGGAAGGTGGTAAAATGGGGCAAAACTCACTTAACAATTGTCTCACTTAGCAACAGGAATTTTGGGCTCAATTGTGGTCATAAAGTGAAGATTACCTATAAAAACTTTAGTCTTGCTCCTTAGTGTGATATGTGACTCCAACTATAAAGTCACACTTGTCAACCAAATCTTTATTACAGTAGTAGACCAGCAAAAATCAAGCCTATTTTTCTACCAAGCACCTAAATCAGGTGTATGGCATGGCCAGATATAAACTTCAGAGGATGTATGATGCTATTACTTATTTAACTCTTTACAGACCACCCATTTCACAATAATGACTCTGGGTGGAGTACTGTACAAGGATGAAAACCATAACAGTAGAAAGTTACAAGGCTTTCTTAAAGTTAAAATAATAATCCCAAAATAAAAAGCCACATCAGCAAGAGATTCACCTTACCTCCTGGCCCAAATGCCTGGGAGTACAACCAGGTCTCCAATGCCTTACAGAAGACTAACAGCATTGGGGACCATACGAATCTCTAGGGGAGATGCTATTTCACAAGTCAGACACAAAGCAAATACAATCTGGGGTCTAACAAGATGACATTGTCTGATGGAGATCTGGAGCATGCCCTCCCTGTTAGACTTGGTGGGACAGACAAAAACAATAGGGGACGGGAGCCCTGCAAATAGGCTGGTCCCATGTTATTACATATTACTTTCCACCTTACCCACAGCATATTACTGTGTTGTTTGAATTCAAAATGGCTGTCATCTTGATTATTTTAATCTGAATGCTATAAATTAGAGCATTTCAGTAAATCAATATAATAGGTTCACACGATATAAAAAACCTGAAACCTCAGAAAAGAGTATTTGCAGCAGGAATGTTACAAGCAGACTCACTCAGGTGTATGTAACCACAGCTTCAGAGACTAGCAATAAAGCCTTTTTGGGATTGTTCACTAGAGTTCTTCGAAATCAGAAACGCTGAGATACATCGGGGATATAATAATTATTTAAATGTATGCGCCTTCCGACTTCCAGTTTATAGAAACAAACGCGTGACGAGCTCTGACTAGCCCCTGCCTTCCGCAAAATCTGTGACGTCACCGGACAGCCAGCCTCAAAGAGATTGCATGATTGTTTGCAACGAGAAAACTTCATGTACACGTGAACTGGAGCGCAACCAACTGTGATTTAAGAAACCTGAACAAGGGTGGCCATAAGATCATTCTGCACTTGCTCTTATTATACTGCAGTTTCAGGCTTGCCTTCCTTAATCATGTGAATCTAAAACAATAGGTTCGACGATAAAAACAACCCTAAAATATATTTTGGGTAACATTTTAACACCATACGCGAACAAAGACACCGAGTTCGATTAAACTTTCTCCGGGGCAAGAAGCGGCTATAGAGACTGCAGTCGAAAATCGTATTGTGGTGCTACCAGTGAGGTCCCGCCACGAGGAAGTAAAATGAGATACTCCCGTAGCGACAGCAGAACGGTCGAGGGCAGCGCCTGAAAAGCCCTCTCCGGAGCTCCCAGCATCCTGCTTCCGCTTTCAGGCGAAGAACTGCCTTGCAATCCCCGGACCGGCGGGTGGGGGGGGAGTGAGCAGGGCGGGCAGGCGCTCCGGACCCGCTCCAGGTGGGAGTGGTTGGATGATGTGGAGCGCCGATTGCTGAGGTCGGCTGCTGGAAGACGGCTCACACACTCCTTCCTTTTTCGCGGGTGGCTTTGCTCTCCTCCCGTGCACACCAGGAGCTGCTACTGCTGCTTCTCCTCTTCTCTGGAGGAAAATCGCAGCAGCTTCCAGCTGGTGGAAGAAACCAGGCTCGGGTCCTTACGCCCCATAGCCAGGCGAAGTAAGTCGGTCAATGATCTTAGCTTCTTCTGTTACTCTTTCGAAGAGAGCCCTCCGGCCAATTGCAACGTCCGGTTGGTATTTGGACAGCTGGCGTTGTTCAGCGTCGGGGTTGCTCTGCTCCTGTTCGCTAAGCAAGGCAGCAACTCCAAACTGCCCGGATGCGAGCTCCTTCCTTGAGACTTCGGGGTGTGTTGACTGGGCGCGCCCCGGTTCGCCCGAGAGGGAAGGCGAAGGCGACTGTCTTGGTCTTGACACTGGAAGGCCGTCTGATTTGACTCTGCTTCATTTTAGGGTCATGGACTTGGGTCATTGCCTTCTCCGACAACTGCGAACATCAGTTAGAGCCCCTCTTTGAAAAGGAGAGTAATAAAACGAATGGCATGCGATTACTTTCCCTCTTAATGGCCAGGGTTTATGTATTTAAATCATTATGGAATCAACATCAGCAGAGTTCTGATTGGTGATCTATTTATAATTCACAGTGTTCTTGCATGAATGTATCAAAATACTATTCTGCTCTTTCTCAGTAAAAATAGGGAGATGGGAGAATTAGGGGACCATCCCTTCATTGGAAGCTAGTGGCTATTCAAAGCAGTTATAGGACCCTAAAAAAGCAGCTGCACAGAGTCCCCAACCTGGCACTTTCAGGATGTGTTTGACTATAATATTCATTATCCACAACTTGCAGGGTCAATTGGTAAATTTATGGCATGTTCTTACCTAATCTATCTGAAGAGCACCAAGTTGGGGAAGGCTGCAGTAGCTTTTGTCATGCAGTTGGATATGTCTGTGGGGATCTGTACTGTTCCAACTGTTAATCAAATGTAGGAGATCTAGGCACTGAAATCTATTCCTTCCACTGAAGGGATCTTTAACATCTGCGCAGCACTACTACAAGAGCAAAACTAATGTGGACGTTCCTCCAGAATTAGTAGAAGACCATTAAAAGAGTCACAGCAATGATTTAAACCCTTTTTTTTAATCAGTTTCTGTGCTTTTACCAGGACAGATATAGTAAGTCTGATCTTTTGTGGCAACCTCAGCTGGCATCCACATCTGTGTGATGGTCCCAGAAGCTCTTAGTATTTGCAGTTTTCCTATCCACGATCATTAGAAGCAGACAGGGCACTTGCACACCTGAATGCCTCTTCCTGGCTTTTGAGCAATCAAACGTGGCATTTCTGGAGTCAAGACTGCTTGGGTGGCATGTACAGATAAGCTGATGGATTTAGGTTTTTATTTTCTCTCACAATTTGTACACTTGACATTCTGGCTTGGATTTTCCTTTTGTGTTGTTTTCCAAATCTACCTTAATTTGGGAGGACAGAAACAGAAGAGCAGTATTAAAAAACAACCACAAAAGCTGGATTCTCACAGATTGTGTGATTGTTTATTTTTGGCTTAGCATGAAGCCAACTATTATAACTTGTGAAGCATGGGTATTATAAAAGCTTATCAGGTTACAGTTGCTAAGCATAACATGATAAAAGGTGGCTTCACATAAAGTGTAAATCCATATAGTTCGTAAACCATAGTAGAATATTAGAGGACTATCCTAATTTAAAATAAATCTAACAAAATTATCAGAAACTAAGTTAAGGCCTATTTCTTACTGAAAGGTAAAGCTCTTAGTATCTGAAACATACCTCATGATGTAACAGATCAGGATCTAAAAAATTAATACTTTCTATAGAAAATAATTCCTTGCTTCTATGCTGGCTGGGGAATTCTGGGAGTTGAGCTCCACACATCTTAAAATTGCTGAGGTTGAGAAACACTAGCTAGATTTCTCTTTCTTGCATAAAGGAGAAAAATCCTTCCTGGTTCAACTAATGTTGTCCAAATACAAGTTTACCACGTCATAGCCTGCTTTAAAACCCCACCTCCAAGCATCACCTGCTGCTGCTGCTGCCTGTGGTCCCCTCTGGCTTTCAGGATGTTAGAATTGAAGCTTGTCTAGAAGTTGTTTGCTCTTACAAGAACTCCTCTGATTCAGTCTATTTGAGAACATTGTCGTTATTTACAAAAAGAGGAAGAAACTTATAAACGTGCTCAAGTGCAATCTTATTCATTATCCCATGTCCTAGCTAAGGACTCAGGTATTGTAGACTAGCATACCTCCTCCTATTACCTCTAATTCTTCTCTTTTATCCCATTGTGCCCTTCCCTGAAGCATCCTGTGATACTTAAATCCCATTATCTTAAAGAAACAATTCATGATACACAGCAGTCATTTTCACTAACACTTCATTCCTGACAACTATTGAAATAATCTATAAATAGTAAAGAAGATCTGAATCCTGATTAAAGGTTAGCAAGGCAGAGGAGTCCTCATTTGTATGGAAAGTATAATGACAGAATTCTTTACTGCCAGTGCTTTTTTTGTAAAAAAAAAAAAAAAAAAAAAGGTGCCGGAACTCACACATGTCATACAACCCGCCTTGCCTACCCTACAAGGTTCCATCCAAAAAAGATGCCGGAACTCCGTTCTGGGCGTTCTATGACAAAAAAAGCCCTGTTTACTGCTAATTCTGTATTCAAATACAATTGGTAGAAATTCAGAATAATTGTAACAACATGTAGAACTGAGTAGCGTCCTAAGAAAATCAGATTTGAACAGGGGTGTGAATGGTTGCATGCATTACACAATGTTGAATAATATTGTGTCTCATTCTGCTGAATATTATGAGGCCCCAGTTTGCTCCCAACTTTAGGATCTAGATGTGGAGCAAACCAGATATCTTGGGCAACTGCAGGGATGATCCTAGCTTCCTCCCCAACTCCAGAGAAAGGCTATGCTTGTTTTACTACACCTTTACTACAATTGTCTTAGAAAAGATAAAAACTCTTCTGAGAGAGTACAGCTGCCAAACAACAAGCCTATGCTTCACATCCACTTTCAGAAAGGACAGCTGGTTTTGTGGTTTTCCTTCTCTGTGGCCCCACAATGATGCCAAGGGAAGGATAGGAATATTAGTGCCTATCAGATGTTTTGGATTTCATTTCTCATCAGTCCAATCCTGTTAAGTGACAAGAGTTGTATGATAGACAGGACTTCCGGTTTTGCACCCGTAGCGCTTGGCCACAGGAGAACAGACCTCCGCTCCCCACGGCTAGATTCGCCCTGCCAGGGGGAACCTGGATGGGTTGGATGTCACCCCGAAGAGGTGACCTTGAAGGAGGGGTGCCCCGTTGATCACAAAGCGACAGCGGTTGCTTCATTTGATCTGGGGGAAGCCCTCCGACCCGACAGAGAAAGGCTAGCGTGAGATCAGCGTCTAGCCCAAGCTACTTGCAGCCGAAGTCCAAGAGCACGAACCTGAACATCAGTGAACAGTGTGCTTGGAATTGGTGAAAGTATTGATCTTCTTTCTTCTATCTACTAATTGAATCCTTGTGAAAGATCCCAAAAGCAAGAAAATCTCTGGAAGTGAAGGGAGGGGTCTATATCCCCATTCCCTTATAGACGGAAGCGGCGAATTAATATTAAGGAGGAAAGAGACATACTAAAATTTGATTTAAATTACCACGGTTTGGACAAATTTAGGAACTAAAAAACTGTCAATATTATACCCTAAAGAGTTTTGATGGAATTATAAAAATATATAACAAAAATAACTTTTTGATTGAAAAAAAAACCTGAAAAAAGAAATAACTGCTGACATCTAGTGGAGAATCAGAGCATAGAATATTAACAATAAGGACTCAGAAATTGGCAGAATGCCCAGAAATGAAGAAAAAGCTGTTCCTTTGAATTGTAAATAACCTTGAAGACAGCTGGGAACAAAGGAAGAGACAGCTCTAAGATTTAAAAGTGTCTGAAAGAAAAAACAACAACACCTGGACTGTTGTTTAAATCTAAGAACTGTTTATGGAAAAGAAAAACCTTGACTTTTGGCTAATCTTTTAGAGGAGAATCTACAGGTAGGTTTTAAAGTGGCTTAACACACTGAACTGTAATTTTAACTGACTGATAAATTGACTCTTGAATTAAAACATTGATGAAAGATTATTTGAAGGGGGGAGACAACATGGATATCATGTACATATCAAAAAATGACAGGATGCCACATTCAATATTGCTGAAATTTCTGCTAAGAGAATCCTACATCAAGCTGAGTGCACAATATGTTTTATTCCTTAGCCCTACAATAGAAAGGCTTAATTTGTTGTTATCTATGGACTAGTTATAATGTTTCAGTATTTTTTCAGTTATTCTTTTTAGGTTGGAAAGGGAATATCCTAAGAAGACTCAGCAATCAAAAGTTTGTATTGCACAGCCATGTAAATATCATGTTGGCAACCACTGTAAACTACCCAGAGAGTGCTGTATATGTAACGCACAATGGGGTCGTATGTAGGTCTAAGTGCTATTGCTGTTTTGACTTTATTATTTTAATCTCTATGTTTGAAAGTTGTTGTCTTTTCAATATATAAGAAGGTCCAGAGGTGGTAGTTTCAAAGCAACAAATCTTGAGATGATTCAGAGGCTGGGAAGTGAAGCAGAATCTTGGGTTCCTTCTAGAGAGCCAGAAGATTAATGTACTTGATGGCTCTACATATCCTCCAGAACAGCTCACAAATGCATATTTAACATTAAAATAGTAGCATCCATTTATTATCATCAGTGGAGGCTGGTACTTTAAAAAAAGTGAGCTACTAGTTGTTATCTTGATGGAGTATCATTTCTATTGGGGCATTTTGTAGAAATAAGACTGCTATGTTTGATAGTCCCAAGTTTTCCAAGAGACCTTTTTTTTAATTGAGAAGAAAATAATATCTTATGGTTTATTGTCAAAATGAGGGGAAACCTTCCTCTTGGGTTTCATGCACCAAGAATCCTATGCAAGTTTCCCAGACTATTTGAAGTCTGTAAGGTTTGGATGACAACATACTAAATCAGGGGTCTTCAAATTTGGTCCTTTTATAACTTGTGGACTTCAACTCCCAGAATTCCTCAGCCAGGTACGCTGGCTGAGGAATTCTGAGAGTTGAAGT